ATAACAATATTCTGACCGATCCGGTTGACATATTGAATAAGTTTAAGGACCACTTTGACAATATTTTAAATACGGGAAATTATGATCTGTGTCCTCCTTCTGAGTACCAGAGTGCTGAACCGTTAATAGAAGGACCAAGTAAAGAGGAAGTTGAAGTAGCTATCGGAAAATTAAAATCATATAAAGTAGCGGGAATCGATAATATTCCTACTGAACTAATTAAGGCATGCGGGGAAGCTGGAGTTTCTAAAATACATCGGTTGGTTAAAAAGATCTGGGTGAACGAGAAATTACCTGAAGAATGGAAAGAATCTATTCTTATTCCGATTCACAAAAAGGGTCCGAGGACGGATTGTAATAACTATCGAGGAATTTCACTCCTTCCGGTATGTTATAAAATATTCACTTTAATCTTAACCAGTCGAATCACGGAATACGCCGAGGAAATTATCGGAGACTACCAATGCGGATTTAGACGGAATCGTTCGACAATTGATCAAATATTTTCTTTACGGCAAATATTAAAGAAAAAATCGGAGTATAACGGTATTGTTCACCAGCTGTATATAGATTTTAAAAAGGCTTACGATTCTATTGACCGCCAGAAACTGTATAATATTCTAATTGAGCAGGGGATTCCAAAAAAACTAGTAAATCTAGTCAGAATGTGCTTGACGGAGACACTCAATAAAGTTAGAATCGGTAATAATTTGTCCGAAAAATTTGAGGTTCGTTTGGGCTTAAAACAGGGGGATTCTCTTTCGCCTGTCCTGTTGAATTTGGCATTAGAAGATGCCATTAGGGAGGTAATGCGAACCGAGAAAGGGTTGGATCTGGGCGGGACAACATCCGTGCTGGGCTATGCTGATGATCTGGTACTGTTAAGCGAAGACGTTGAAACTATAAAACTAAATACGACAACGTTAATGAAAGCCGGTAAAGAACTAGGACTCCAAATAAACGTGGATAAAACAAAATATATGGTTAGCTGCAAAAATGGCGATACTACTGGTGATATCGATATAGATGGTAATATGTTTGAACAGGTAGATAAATTTAGGTATCTAGGTTCTACGATAACTAGAAAAAACGAAATTGAAGAAGAGATTAAGGTTAGACTGAAGGCGGGGAATGCTTGTTATTTTTCTGTGACAAAACTACTTAGTTCGCGCCTCTTGTCCCGAAACTTAAAAATTAGAATCTATAAAACGATTATCTTGCCTACAGTTCTTTATGGATGCGAAACTTGGCCGCTTACATTAAGGGATGAGCAGCGTCTTAAGGTTTTTGAAAATAAAGTATTGCGTAGAATATTCGGACCGAAGAAGGATGAGTTAACCGGAGAGTTCAGACGGTTACACAACGCCGAATTGCGTGAGCTGTATCCGGGTAATATAATTGAGGTAATTTCATCGCGGCGAATCAAATGGGCTTGTAAAGTTGTTGGGCTTAGTAACGAGAGAATTCCTAAAAGGTTAATATGTGCGGTGCCGAATGGTAAGCGTCTGAGGGGTAGACCGAAGCGAAGGTGGGAAGATTGCATTAAAGCCGATCTGAAGGGACTGGGTTTGGACGGCGAACGGTGGAGGGAGGTGTGTAACAAGCGATTGGTGGTGTCGGCATCGAACCTTCGGGTTCGCTAAGCCTTATTATTATTATTATTATTTTGCCTATATTTGGAAACTGCTGTTTTTCTTCTTTGGTGTACTACATAAAAAAAGCAAAAGCAAAGATTTTAAGGCGACAACTTCAGCTAAATTTACTAAAAACTCGTTAGAATCGTTTTGACGCTACAGTTAATAGAAAACAAGTTTTTAATCTATAACAAAGATGCTATTGCGTACGCAGAATAAAGTTCACACACAAAACCAAAAACAATAACCACTGTATTGGTAAATAAAAAAAATCAGTCCACCGTTCAAGCGATAATCCTGGCACACATACGGAAGCAAAAGTACATAGTCAGAATAGTGGCCGTAATTGAGTTTCATGAGCCCATGGGACACTGAAATGTAAATAACTTTCAAAAACTGATCAAAAAAAAAAAAAAAAAAGTTTATAAGTTTACAATACATTCCTTACCCAGTACCGATGCAATAGTAATAAAAAAGACTACCTGCAATTTATCGATAGCAATCTTTGTGATTGGCTTGTAAGTTTTAGAAATATTTATCCTTTACAAATGATAAGAAATGAATAGTTTCTTGGATCCCAATTGATTTTCTTTCTTTAATCAGTTAATAAATAAACAATTTTACAAAGCTAACAAAAAATGCGAGAAGTAAGAGGAACAAATTTGCCACTGATGTCATTTGAAAGATATATCCAAGTAACTACCAAGTAGCTACATGAAAGAAAACTTCTTCCGTTTGAGATTTATATTATTAAAGTAGATACGAAAACGTTTTAATGACTAATAAATAATTGTGAAAACAGGATAGTCAGTTCTATCTTTTAAAACTGTTATCCAATAGACTATGGCTATCACATCTTAACGACTTGAAAGTTTTATAATTTAAAACTCATTTTCATTTAAAAATGCTGCTGCGATGCTGCTATCCTTGTAATGAAGGTGGGACTCCTTTCTTACAACCATTATCTTTTAAAATGAAAAATGATATGCATAAAGGTTCAGCTTGATCTGGAGTAAATATTTTTTTTTATTGTAATTATGAATAAAAGACAGGAAACTCACAAACCTCGACAGAGCAAGCATACTACAAATACATATAGTCCAGCCAATGAATGCTCGACTTTGGGACATTGTTTTCAATAGTAAGGAGGTAAACATACTAAAAGTTCCCACTCTGGTGAACCAGATGTGACGGTGGAGCGACTAGGTTTTTTCGCGTTTACCTTATATCAAGAAAATTATCCATCCCATCGACAAAGAAGTTCTATATAAAATTGAAGCTGATAAAATTTTCAATACTATTGATTGTGTATCTATACAGTACGTATAATTTCATAAATATTTGTAATGGGTACTTCATAATCAACAGTAATTGGAATTAAGAGAATAGCTGAGTTTAGAGCATTTGTTTATTCCTTTTCAGTGAGCAGAATTCGAAAGCAATGTTGTAATTAAGGTCCTGATTTCAACTGAAAAAGACCAATTGAAAGCTGACTGAAGTGATAAATGACTTATCCGTACATATATTATTACAGTAAGGCACGAAATCGGTTTTGTACCGAATATAAGCTCCTGTCATGCTCAAATACCATGAATGGGGTACCGTTGGATTCAGAATTCCACGGGGGGTTACCGAATCGTATTCTTCACTTTTGTTTTTCTTTCTAAAATAAATAAATTCGATACAAACATTTTGCTAGGTTTCAATACCTGAACAGTGGTAGGTCTGTAGATCGATACGGGACAAATTGGATCTAGAAGATTTTGATGCGTACAGCAAGACCCGGATAGTTCCTCCGGAACTATCGGATCCTGCGTTTTTAAACCTAAAAACGTACTATTTTCGAGATAACGCAAGGCATAGGGTTCGCATCCACACAGCCTTACATTAATCGTACTACTGTCGTTGAATACATGTCTCATTTCGTCGACTTGAGGTCTCTATGATCAAGAGAGGAGAAGTTTATATTATTTATCGATGGTTTTTTTGATCTACAAGCCATATCTTCGTCAATTTTTCACCAAATCTCATGATTGAGCCACCAATTTCGAAGGCTTCCTTCTCCTTTAGGCGGACAAAATAGTCCAATCACCCCGAAAATTCAGGCAAACAAGTTATAAAAGAAAACGAACTTTATTTGGGAATAACTAAAAAAATACACACGTTTCCCTTGGTTATGCCCGTGATTATATAAAATATTAGTAAATTCCCTACACAATGAAAAAAAAAAATCATCGAAATTGGACAATTTTTAGCAAAGATACAGCTTACTGAAATTTGTAAACATGTTGGTTCCAAACAAAAATGAAGATTTAAATTAATTTTTGTTTTCTTTGTCGATTATATTTATCGATAAAGTAACATTTGATTTCTTTATCTTTTGATAGGTTGCATTAATTTATTTTCGTATTAATCTGGCATTTGATAACAATATGCTGTGCGAATTTTTCGCACGCGCCTACTAGTCTAAATAACAGGCGGTTGTACTCTTGTACCTACTGTTAAAATTTTGCCATTCCCCGAAATCCATTTATAGTTTCATCATGAGCTCTTTTAGTCAGTCACCTGTCAAAGTAGAGCAGTACTTCCAAAGAAGTTATTAATACTAAATGAAATAAATTTCATAAATATCTGTATTCAATAAATTATTATCTTTATTTTTCATCAAGAAATGGACGTAGGGGAAATTTAGAAGTTAAGCGGGTAACTGGCTTAGTTTCCGAGATATCTGTCTTAAACTATTGCTAATTTGGAAAAAAAAAAATGTTTAACTCATGTTTTTATTGTATTTGACTAGCTAACTCTTGATTGCTTCCTTATATGATTAAGTCATGGGAAAGAAAGTTGTTAATAATTATATTTTCTTCAGGAGTATATATTATTTTACTAGTTTTTCTTTAACGGTTCAAAAGTCATACCAATTAGAAGTTTAGATGTCAATTCCGAAAATTTTCGGAAAAAATCATTTTTATAATATACGTTATTATTGCTCTATATTACGTTATTATATTGCTCTATATGGCACGGTAAAACAAAAATCTTAAAGACGAAAAAAGGGAACAAAAAAAAAGGTACCTCCATTATTTTGTTCCTATAACAAAGAACAAATAAAAATGTATCACACTATAAATTATCCTACTAACAATACTAAAAATACCCCGAATTTCGGATAGTTATACTACTTATCTTATTACGGAATAAAGAACTTTACAAACTTACAATCCAGCCATCGGTTATCGTATAGTCAACCGATGAGCTCATCCATTTACCAACTCGCACAATAAACCTAAATATGGTTCGGGGTCTTTTTCTCTCCGCAAACCGCAGATAAGAGAAGAAAGGCAACAAGCTATCGAAAGGACTCACCGGTGGCGAAGATCTGAACCGTGCTGACGGCAGTGGCCTGGCCATGGATGTTGGATGCTTGGGCTGTGTACTTGCCGGTGTAGGTTAGCTTGGCTTGCCGGATCTCGAGGCTGCTCTCTGCGCCCGATCGACGTTCGCGGAATTCGCCTTGGTCTCTGCTATAGCGGGAAATCTGCAACAGAAAATTATTTTAAATTTATTTTTGGTTAATATGCTATATAGGTATAAAAAGATTTCAAATATCCTATATATTATTTCTAAAAGGTGTTTTTTTTGTCGGTACGTCAAAACTTCGTCAATTCTTTATCAAATCCATTGATTGACCACTTATTTAGAAGATATTCTTCTCATTTGCAGGTAACTAAAAATTATGCATTTTTTCTTGATTGTACCCGTAATAATTAGAAAGATTTCTAAACTACCTACAAAACAAAAAAATCGTAAAAATCTATTAGAAACATGTATAATTTAAACAATTCGTATTGACGGAAGGAGTAAAGTGTGTTGAAATATTTTTTTTTTAAGGAGAAACAGAGTTGAGATTTGTATTTCGCATTTCGAAAGACCGTGGAATACGAATTTTCATTCCGATTGAGCAATACAAATTTTTTTCAACAAATTTGACCTAAGACCTAAATTTTATTTTGAAAATCACAAAAAGTGTTATAACTTCAATATTCTTCCACCTATTGACACGAAATTTTGTAGGGTTATAGACTTATAAACTACAAGAAATGACACAAACTGTATCTTCCTAAATAATTTAGAACTGAAAACCTGTTAGGAGTTTTTATTTATTTACTCTCTATAAGCGTGTAAAATCAAAAAGTTATTTATACCTTCTTAAAGAGCGATAATTCGGCGTTGCAACGGTTGCAGAAACATTGAATTAGGATAAAATCCTGAGTTATGATTGTTTTTTGTTAACGGCAGGCAAAAACATCATTAATAAAAAGCGGACTCGTTGACATGACGACTATCTCAGCACAGCTCTTCTATCCTATATATTATTTCTAAAAGGTGTTTTTTTATCGGTACGCCATAACTTCGTCAATTCTTCGTCAAATTAATCGATTGACCACTCATTTAGAAGACATTCTTCTCCTTCACATGCGAAAAATAGTCCCATCCCTCCGAAATTCCTAGAAAAAAAGTTATGAATGAAAAGAAACTTCATTTTATATTTCATTTTCATAACTAATATATTCATTTTAGATAACTCAAAAAGTATGCATTTCTTCTTGATTGTACCAATGATAATTAGAAAGATTACTAAATTACCCTACAAAACAAAAAAAAAAATTGGCCAATTATTAACAAAGAAACAGTCCACGGTTTTGGTTAGTGTTGCCCAAATGCCAGACCGAGACGAGTCTTGGTCTTGCGCAAGAATCTCGCAGCAGTCTTGCAGTTACTTATTAGCTTATTACTATCGAGATATTTTATTTATTAGTTATACATATTCCTGGCTCACAATAAATTTGCTATCTACATCGGTATTCAGCAAATATGATATCAGGGACAAGAAATGATAGCATAAGCATTTTACTACTGTTCTTTTTTTTGTTGGTTTTTTTTTTTTGTCTTTTTGTTTCGTTATTACTATTATTTTTTTTTCTTATGCTATCATTTTTTGTTCTTGATTTCATAGAGATATTACTGTAATCTTTTAGATAGGAGAAAACTAACTAACCCCGAATGAAATATATGAATAAAATATGGTTTTACCAATTATTAACATATAGTAACTAAGATTGTCAAGTAATAGTAACTATTTTGCCTTAATTTTTATTTTAAAAATCGATTTCTTTTACCAGTCCAGGTCTTGGTCTTGCAACAGTTAGGTGGTCTTGGTCTTGGACTTGGACCGATTTTGAGCAACACTAGTTTTGGTATACTTAATAATATCTTCCTGTTTAAAGTTATTGCATCTAGGAGTAGAACAGCCCACTAATTTTTTTTTTCTGGATTTTATATTAACTTCATTTTCCTTAATTTCCAAATTTGGTTGTTCTTACATATTTTTTTTTAATAATTAAAAATAACCTATGATCGGGACATTATTTTGTCTGTATTACTTTTATTATCTTTCCAGTCAGCGTTTGAAAATAGGTCCTAGCAAAGCAATTGTAGAAATATTTTGGTATATTATGTTTGACAGAATATTGTAATCGACTAAGGAAAAAATATTAATTCCTTCCTTACATAATACATAGGAACTATTTATTTCCATATTGTTTTGCTATTTCTTCACTAAACAACATTTTCGCACGGGCCAACTAGTTACAAGATTATTTGTAAAACTCCGATTAAGTATCAACTTCAATATAAAAAATCTTTCACTTACCGATTCAATGTCAGTGGAAATTAATTTTTAAATTAAGGATTGAAATGTATTTTATGGAAGAATTACGGAATGATTCTCGACCTTTCCACTGCGGTTTGGGTTCGGTTGTACCTCTAGAACAACCCCTTCCCTCATATACCAGAAATGGTGAGATATGCATAATCTATAACTTTTCTTGAAATTTCAACCATCTTTTTATCTTTATGGAAAAATACGTAGGCATACAATAAATATGCATTAAATTTGTACACAAACTGTAGGAGTGCTTGTCGTATTGCCTTAACATGATAAATGAGCGTTGAACTAGCAGAGGGATCCTAGGTTTATAAATAACTGTACAACACGGGCGAGCCGGATCATGGAAAAATCCACATGCCGCATTGAATATTCAGATGGCCTAGGCACAGGGTATTACGCTCAATGTACAAGGATGTTAATTTGCGAGTATGGGCCAGTTTGATTTATACATCTGTTAATCAGATGTTCGATTTCAAACCAGTCTATGGGGTTAGGATGACCTCACTCACTAATATATGCAACTTTTTTTCATGTCAATTGTAACGCTAATAGCTTGATAACATTTCTATCTGCTAATTCCATCATCTTATAAGGATAATTCACGGTTAGGACAAAGATTGGAAGCATTACATTTCAAAATTTGAATGTATAGTACGGTTAATTAAATCGTCATCTAGTTTATAGTCATCTATTAAACTTTTTACTGTTCCTTATTTACAATAACATTCATTTAGCTTTCTTTTCTGCTTAAGTTTGACTAAACGAGTCAAAATTTAACTTTCTTGCCAAGTTGATGGATAACCTCATCCTTTCTTTTTTAACTACACAAGCGTAAGTAATTTATAAATTAGGCTACAGTGTCACATAATATTAAATAAATTTATGTGATATTATTTATTACACTTTGAAATAATTTTTAAATTTCGTATATTTCTCTTAACAAACTTTTTGAATGTATACACGAGTCCACAACCACGTCATTGCCTCTGTGGTGTAGTTGTGACCTCCGAAAGTGTTTAAGCTATATTTTTTAATCTAGTGCAAGAATTAATTAATATTTAATTATTTAAGTAAAGATAGTTTGGAAATTAATAGAATTATGTTTAATATATGTGTTCGTTACATACAATTAGCGGTTATATACGAAAAACAGTCTGAAAATGTAACCTATACCTTCGCAAAATTATGGTTATTTAAAATTAAAGTACCAAGACACCCACAATAGCAATTAAAGAAAAAAGTGCAGTTCCTACTACGGAAGCCATGTCTTCAGGGATGCCTTCCCCCCCTCCAATAGGTCGATGGCGCATAAACCATACCTTCTCCAAAAACAGTATTACTCTCCAGTTCTTAAAAACAGTGCAAGCGATAAAAGGATTAGACAAATCGTAGATCATATAAAATTACATTTGATGTTGTCTGTCCCATGTCTTCCTCCTAGTTTTCACTCTGAAAATTCATAGCCCCCTCGAAATGTATCCTCCTCAAAAATTCGAAAAACAATCAAAATGTACCCTCCTCAAAAATTCAAAAAAACAGTCAAAATGTACCCTCCTCAAAAATTCAAAAAACAGTCAAAATGTACCCTCCTCAAAAAATCAAAAAATAGTCAAAATGTACCCTCCTCAAAAATTCAAAAAACAGTCAAAATGTACCCTCCCCAAAATTAAAAAAACAGTCAAAATGTACCCTCTCCAAAATTCAAAAAACAGTCAAAATGTACCCTCCTCAAAAATCCAAAAAACAGTCAAAATGTACCCTCCTCAAAAATTCAAAAAACAGTCAAAATGTGCCCGCCTCAAAAATTTTGATGCCACAACTTGCTCCATGAAATCCCCTTCTGGGCATCTCTGCCTCTCTGGATCCAAAAAAGTGTCAACAGATTATTGAGAGAGAAATAGAAACAATTTAAGTGAACTTTTATCAACTTAATAGATAACTTGAGAATGCTCCAGCTTAAATGAAACGTAGTCAAATCATTAATAAAAATTAATGTTTATGATTATTGATTTTTTGCTCAGTTAATAAAATGGAAAATAAGACTGATCCACTTCAACTCTCAATTAGGGTTGGCTAAATAACAAACGAATGACTCATCAAACGTTTTATCATAAAATCCAGGGGATCAGTGAGTTCTAATCGAAGTTTAAAATGAACAGGACAAGGATTTATCCAACTTAAGATATTTATCTCCTATTAGATATATCTTCATCTACAAAACATAAAAGAAAAATTACTAAACTTTTTTTACTAAACTAAAGATTTTTTATCAAAGGTTATCGTTAATGGTGAAAGTTCGTAATCTTCATTATAAGCAGTTGATAAAATAGTTCGTCATATCGCTTTTTTTTTTTTTAATTGACTGTTATCAAAATAATAATAATCTCTTCTGCTACATCATGTCGCCGACATGATTTCGCCACGATGAACCAGGTTTTTCTATACATTGTTTACTAGCCGGGAATCCGGTTTAACCACAAGGTATTACCAAAATAAGTCCACACTAGATGACTTGATTTTTTTTAAATCATAAGCTGCGCTGTTAATAGAGATCCCTCTAATTATATATGGTTAGGTTAAAAAAAATTATTAAAAAAGGAATTAATAGGGAAAGAACTAATTTTGGGCATGTTAGTGATTAAAACATTATTTCCCAAATAGCAAATATGAAAACAGTCTGTTAATTATCATATTAAATTGGAAATAAAAATATTACACAAAGAAATAAACACAATCATAATACTAATAGAGCTGGACTAATTGTAAGTTACAAATATGGAAAACGAGAAATTGATATTACAATACAA